CTTAAAGTTTTTAATTTTTTCTCAGAAAAATGTAGATGATGATTTGAATTTACAAATCTTTCTTGAGATTATAATTTTAGTTTTTATTTAAATAAGAACAATTTCTTTTGCTATTTTAAAACACTTTTCGGTTTCAGAGCTTATTTGCAACATTTAAGAAAAAAATGGCCTAACTTTTTTTTTGAAAAAAAAAGGCTTTTTATACCTACTGACCAGGTTCTCCCAGATCTTCAGCGTAGATTACGATCATTCGGGATCCATTGTATCCGGATCCATCCAGGTAAACTACACAGGATGTTGTTTTTGTTGTATGTTCTTTTTTCATGTTTTTGTTTATTATTCTTGGATTCTTGTTGTTGTTGCTTTTTCTTTTTCGTTTTGTTGTTGTTGTTGGTTTTGTTACTGTTGTTTTTGTTATTGCAGTATTTTTGTTGTTGTTTATTTTGATGTTCTTTTTCCTGTTGTTGTTATTGTTGTTGTCGTGTCTATTAATAATTTTTTTGATGTTCATCATACTTTTTGTTATTGTACTGTTTATTATTGTTGTTCTTGTTTTTATTATTGTTTTAATATTTTGTACGTTTATTTTTCTTGGTTATCTATGTTTTAGTTCTTGTTCTTGTTTGTTCTGTTGTTGTTCTTCTTCTTTTTCGTTTCGTTTTAGTTACTGTTGTTGTTGTTGTTGTTGTTGTTGTTGTTGTTGTTGTTGTTGTTGTTGTTATAGTAACACTATCCCCTGGTTCAAATGTCAATAATACTCGATCATGTATACGCCATCGAAATCATTTTTATTTGACATTATTTTTCAAATTATTTTTCAAATGATTTTTCAAATGATTTTACAAAATATTTGAACTTTCCCTTTAAGGTGTTGATGTTGGAGCGAAACCGTGTGGTTCGCCGACCTGAAGGAGAACCCAACTTTAATGTGTTCTATCAACTTCTGGCTGGACTAGATAACAATCTTAGAAGGTACAAGGTTACTCACAAAAGATGACATTGTAAAGACGACCAAAATCTCTTAAAGTATGACGATTTGAAGCTTGATTTTTTTTGTTTCTGCATTTAATTAAGTATTTTGATGGTTTACGAAATGATTAAGCACAAACATAAACCAGTGGTCTACAAGAAACCCTGCTAGAAATGATTAAGCACAAACATAAACCAGTGGCCTACAAGAAACCCTGCTAGAAATGATTAAGCACAAACATAAACCAGTGGCCTACTAGAAACCCTGCTAGACATGATTAAGCACAAACATAAACCAGTGGCCTACAAGAAACCCTGCTAGACATGATTAAGCACAAACATAAACCAGTGGCCTACTAGAAACCCTGCTAGAAATGATTAAGCACAGACATAAACCAGTGGCCTACTAAAAACCCTGCTAGAAATGAATAAGCACAAACATAAACCAGTGGCCTACTAGAAACCCTGCTAGAAATGATTAAGCACAGACATAAACCAGTGGCCTACAAGAATCCCTGCTAGAAATGATTAAGCACAGACATAAACCAGTGGCCTACAAGAATCCCTGCTAGAAATGATTAAGCACAGACATAAACCTGTGGCCTACAAGAAACCCTGCTAGAAATGATTAAGCACAGACATAAACCAGTGGCCTACTAGAAACCCTGCTAGAAATGATTAAGCACAAACATAAACCAGTGGCCTACTAAAAACCCTGCTAGAAATGATTAAGCACAAACATAAACCAGTGGCCTACTAAAAACCCTGCTAGAAATGCAAGAAAAGGCCGTAAATTCGTCTCCGAAGCCTCATCTTTTTTGGGTAACCATGTAAATAACATTTAAAGAATCTTGTATTTATATTGTATTTAATATCTATATTCTGGATATGGATCTAGGTGGGATTATTAACACTGTTGAATATGAATTGATGACTGTAAGCAACTTAGCATCAATATATATGAATTTAAATCGTCCAATGGACATTAAACACAGGCATCAACCCATTTAACTTTATCAGTTGATTTTCAAGTTATACAGAGCTGGGAAATTTTGAATGGTGGATATCGGGGTTAATGCTTTATCCACTGATTTCCTTAATCTCCAGATTAAATAATGCTAGTTATCCTCTTGTTACTAATCTTCAGATTAACTAACTGATCGGGATTAAGGGTATCTCATTTAAAAGTTCCCAGCGCTGGTAAAAATCGTTGCTATATATTAGCATAAGATTGCTTAAATTTCTGTTGTTTCCGTAATCTTAATAATCATGCCAAATATCAAAAGGGAGTATTTTTGTCACTCTTTCTGAATCTGCCAACTCTAGTACGGCCGTTTTTACGGTAAAAAGAAAACTCGCAAATATCGAGGTAAACAACAATTTTGATTTTATTAAAATAAGTTGATTTATAATGCTGATTTGATTACTATTTATCAGGGAGTTCCAGATTGATAACTTAACTGAACCCAATCAGCTACTCACACCACTTACGCGCACAGATGACAAGAATGCCGCGGCTGCTGCTTTCCAGAGTCTTACAAAAGCCGCGCAAATTGTTGGGTATGATTTATAAAACTATTATTTTGGGTGGATGGGGGTGGGGATTAGTGTTACTTTTGGTACGATATGCTACAAATCTGAAAACAAGTTTATGCCAAAACCTAAATTTAAAGAATTGCTTTGCTTCACTTAAGCCCTGAGGGGACTCTTATTGTTATTCTAAATGCCTGCACTCTATAGAGTTGCATGCCATATTCACAACGGTACCCTTTAAAGTTTATACCCCTATCTTAGCAAAACGTAAATTATCTCGTTGAAAAGTGTCGAAATTTATCACTTTCCCTCTCTGTCTACGTCACGGTCCAAAACGGATCCGAAATGAAAATAATAAATTTTCTATTAGAATAACTAGGATAGCTATGTAGTTTTAAAGGTTACTGTTGTGAATCGGGCATTCTCAACTTGACATTATATTGCCATTTTCTTGAGGATAAAACAAATTGTTTAGTTAAACACTTCAAATTTTTATAAAATAGTTATATTTTGTATATATTAGAAGATACAATTTCAGTATCAATTAAATGTTGTTTACAGATTCACTGATGGCGAATGGTCAAGCATTCTTTCCGTTCTTTGCAGCATTTACCATCTTGGATCAGCAGGTACAAATACAAGGGTCAGGAGGTACAAATACAAGGGGTCAGCAGGTACAAATACAAGGGGTCAGCAGGTACAAATACAAGGGTTAACAGGTACAAATACAAGGGTCAGCAGGTACAAATACAAGGAGTCAGCAGGCACAAATACAAAGAGTCAGCAGGTATAAATACAAGGGATCAGAAGGTACAAATACAAAGGGTCAGCAAATACAATTACAAGTGGTCAGCAGGTATAAATACAAGGGGTCAGCAGATACAAATACAAGGGTCAGCAGGTACAAATACAAGGGGTCAGCAGGTACATATACAAGGGGTCAGCAGGTACAAATGCAAGGCGTTAGCAGGTATAAATACAAGGGTTAACTGGTACAAATACAAGGGTTTAGCAGGTGCAAATACAAGGGGTCAGCAGGTACAAATACAAGGGGTCAGCAGGTATAAATACAAGGGTCAGCAGGTTCAAATACAAGGGTTCAGCAGGTACAAATACAAGGGGTCAGCAGGTACAAATTAAAGGGGTCAGAAGGTACAAATACAAAGGGTCAGCAGGTACAAATACAAGAGGTCTGCAGGTACAAATACAAGAGGTCAGCAGGTACAAATACAAGGGGTCAGCAGGTACAAATACAAGAGGTCAGCAGGTACAAGTACAAGGGGTCAGCAGGTACACATTCAAGGGGTCAGAAGGTACAAATACAAAGGGTCAGCAGGTACAAATACAAGAGGTCAGCAGGTTCAAATACAAGAGGTCAGCAGGAACAAATTCAAGGGGTCAGAAGGTACAAAGACAAGGGTTCAGCTGGTACAAATTCAAGGGGTCAGCAGGTACAAATACAAGGGTCAGCAGGTACAAATACAAGGGCTCAGCAGGTACAAATACAAGGGTTCCCAGGTATGAATACAAGACGTCAGGTTAAACGTTGATGGTGTGGCCACTGGCCAGACTATTTACAGTACCCGGCCTCATATGCCAATTTGACCTAACCGACTAGCCTAGTTTAGAGTGTTAACAATCAAAACATAAATAAAAAAGTCGTTTTATTGTATTGATTTAATCTCCTACGACTTAATGATTTTCACAATTTCTCTTACTGACTGTACATTTGAATGTTTAATAAATCTTAAACTAAAAACTGAAAATATTTAAAATCTGAATTTTATTTTAGGAACAGTTAAAGGTTCAGCTGGACGACCTGCTTTCAATAAACCTCAAGTAAGCATTGTTTTTATTCTCATACAGTGGTCACCAAAATAAAATGGAAACAGAAAAATGATCTCAAAACATTCTATAAATTCATAATTAATACTGACATTAAGTTTAGTTTAAATAGCTTGAATTGAAGTATATTGTTTAAGAGTGAAGAGTACCTACAGTAATACCCAATAAAGTGTGGAATGTGAAGATGAGATTTTATCTATTTTATGCGTATTTGATGCTGCTATACGTACAGCAAATAGTTTCACCAGCGTTCGAATTTAATGAATTTGAGCCGCGTCTAAAATCCGGTTTTAATTGAGCGCCGGCTTAAATCTTGAAACATTGAATGCAATTTTAAGTGGAACCAACCATATTTGAACCGCGGCTTAAGTGTAAGCCGCGGCGCAAATTCTTTAAATTCGATCTCAGTAGTTTGAGAAACAACTTATAAAATAAAAGAAGTTTGTTCAGAAGTGTGTACAACCCAATTGCTGTGTTTCATGTTCAGTGTTTATTGTACTATTTAATATCAAAACTTGAGTCTTTTCCATAATCTTATTGGTTTTACTGTTTTTTTTTTAAACTACTATATCTTGAATATAAAACCGTCTTTTTTATCCATATTATTTTGTGTATTAACATTATAATAAAAGTTTTCTAAAAATAGTTATCATTGAAAAATATTTATTTTTCATAATTTAAAAAATCCTTTATTTTCTCAGTTTGCGCACAAGGCTGCGCATTGCCTGGGGGTCAGTCTGGAGGATCTTTCCAGGGCAATATTCCAGGGATTATCAGAAATAAAAATAGACAAATAAAATATATAAGAAATAAATAGATAAATAAACAAGTAAAATATATAGACAAATAAAATATATAAGAAATAAATAGATAAAAAATAGATATGAAATAAATACACAAATAGATAGGAAAATAGACAAAAACAAATAAATAAATGGGTAACTAATAAATGACAACAAACACTAAATAATGAATGATAATTAACATTAAGGAATAATAAATAATTAATAAACAAATGTTATTCTTCAATTAATACATTTCTTGATCTTAGTCTGAAAAAAAACTATAAAGAGACCAGAGTTTAACAAAAAAGTTCAACAATTGAAGAATAAATGTGTGGAGGGTTGTTGATTAAAAACAAATCATATTAAACAAAACAAAAGTAAATTTAATAGATTGAACGTAAATTCAAAATGGTGGATTTAAAATAGCGGATTCAAAATGGTGGAGTCAAAATGGCGGGAGATTGTTCTAGAAGATTTATGTTTAAGGATCTGGAGGAACTGGTGGCCGAAGATCTAGCCGTGGAGAGCTGAGTAGTTCAGGAGATCCAGCTGATTATCTTAACAGTTTTATCACTGGATTATACTCAGAGATATTCCATCTGGTGGTCGCCATCATTAATAGGTGCGTTGCAGTTAGAATACAACCGCTAGGTGTCTCACATTTCACCTTATAATCTTAAGATTTTCCCACATGCAAATATATGGCCTTTCCTCGGACATTGTTGAATTCAAAATTGAACATTTCCTCAGGTTGAATAATGTTCAGATTTAGAAATTCATGAAAGAAGAAATAATCCCAAAGATTAAGTAAGTCTAAATTTAATTCGGCAAGTAAGTTTACAATTCGATTTTCTTAAATTTTTTCCAGTTTTTGATTTTGTTGATTTCTAGCACTAAAAATAATCCTAATTTTCTTATTTATCATAATTAATTGATTTCAGGTCGATAGCTTCTGGTGTAACGAGTGCAGCGAGTATCCTTGTTCTGGATACTCCAGGTTTCCAGAATCCAGCCTCATGCGGCAGGTAAAGGATACATAATAGTTAGACTGAAGGCGGCCCGTACTTCAAATTTTTGCATGGGGGCACACAGGTTCAACAGGGGAGTGGGGCAAAGCTCACTTAAAGAGCTAAAAAGTGCTTGTTTTACACTCAATTGCCCCCCCCCTAGTATATGTTCTCTATAAGAACCTAATTCATTTGTGTACGGTCTCGTTTTTCCTTGCATGTACTGTACAACTTTCCCTGCTCCCTTACCAGTCGGCCCGGCACTTGAAATTAGCCAGACTTTACCTTGCCCCTCCCAGTTACGGCCCTGATAGAATGTGTTAATGTCAACCATAGAAAGAGTTTATAAAGAATTTGATGATGATTCGGGTTGTGTTCATTTCGAAAAAAAGGGAATTGAGCCTTTGCCACTAACTCAAATATTCTCATCCTTAAATTTTACAACCTAATAATGTAAACCTTTGATATTTCAAACTTAGATTATTTGATGTAGCAGAATTTATTGGATTGCACAGATATAGGGAAAAGAAAATAAGAGATTGTTGTAAAGACTAAATTCTTTTGTCTGGTTTGAGGTTTGTCTTTTGTTTTTGCTAATTTATAGTGTAAGTTTAAGAGATGTCTCTATTTGTTACGAATTTATGGATTTTTGAGGACTGTCCGTTTATTACAAATGCTACCTAGGTTGACCGGAGCAGGGTTTGATGAGCTCTGTAATAATTATACTCAAGAGAGATTACAACTCCTGTTTCACGATAGATCTATCACAGCTTTGAAGGAGAGGTATTATTGTTATTAATATTATTATTAATATTATTATTATTATTATTATTATTATTATTATTATTATTATTATAAATTATTATTATAATTATCATTATTATGATTATTTTTATTATTGTTATTATTATTATTATTATTTCTAAGGTATGAGAACGAGAATATTGACATCCCTGACCTGGAGGATTTGACAGGTAAATAATCAAATCAAATTATTTTTGTTTTATTTTCTTATTTTAAATTCTTTTCTAGAGATTTGTACTCCCGCTCCTCTAGTTCAGTTGATAGATAGACAATCCACTCTCAGGCACTCACAGGGGGACCTTAGTCAGGTAGATTCTACTTTATGAACATCAACCAACCTTTTATGATTGAACCCAAGTAATCTTTTAAACGTTAACTCTCATCAATAAAAATTTTATCAAGAGACATAGAACAAAAGAGAAGAAGACATTTTCAAAAATGAAAGCTCTACCCCCTTTTTATTATTCACGAACACTCCCATTAATGTCTACGTGTTGGTAGATTGATAAGAGGGGTTTACTGTGGCTGCTGGATGAGGAGAGTATCTACCCGGGGGCATCAGACCAGACATTCGTAGACAGGATGCTGGACCAGTTCGGTGTAGCAGGTTAGAAGCCAAACTTTATCTCTTCTTAGACCCACTTTCCGGCACTGGATTTTGCAGCAGTTAAGGTTTTCAACATACAGGTTTCCTAACACAAATGGTTTGTTAACAGACGGGGTTCCTAAAGCTTAGGTCAAACTTGATCTCTTCTTGGACCCACTTTCCGACATTGGATTTTATAGCAGTTAAGGTTTTCAACATACAGGTTTCCTAACACAAAGGGTTTCTAACAACAGAGTTTCCTAATATTAATTAATATTAATTTTATTAATAATTAATTATTATTATTATCATTATCATTATTATTATGATATCAGGAACTAAGATCAGCTCCGAGGATCTTATCAAACCTGGACCTGAACCTGGAACATTCATTCTCCAGCACTTTCAGGTTAGTAGACTTTTACTAGATGATTAAAGATATTTTTAATGGAAGGAATAGGTTTTAAAAAAATCGTTGATTACCTACATGAATCTAAAGTTTTATAATTAAAGTTTTTAAAAACATCCAAACTTAACTTTTAACTTTTTTACGAATTTTTTGATCTGAAATGAAATTTGCGGATGGATTCTTTAAGTTAAATGATATTTTAGGGAACTAACCCAGTTGTGTACAACAGCCGTGGTTGGTTGAAGGTTAGCCGGGAGAATATTGTTTGTAAACAAGCGATAAACGTACTGCAAGAGTCACAGGATAAGGTATTCTAATTATCTATCTATCCTTTCTACTTATCTCTCTATCTATCTATCTATCTATATCTATCTATCTATCTATCTATCTATCTATCTATCTATCTATCTATATATCTATCTATCTATCTATCTGCCTTCCTATCTATCTATCTATCTATCTATCTATCTATCTATCTATCTATCTATCTATCTATCTATCTATCTATCTAGGTTTTGAATGAAATGTTTATGAAGTATAGAAGTGTAGGCGCTGCTTCAATGTCAGGTAGTTTATTTAAAAAAAAAAAAAAAAATTTCTCAAAAAAAAAGATATTTTTTAAAACTCTAGTTTGCCATGTTGAACATAGAAACTTATAACTTGCCTCGAATTTGCAAAATCTTTTCATTCATAGTTTGAAATATAAAAGGCCTCAGGTATCAGGTTACAAAGATAAATGGAAAATGTTAAGAGTTTAAGTAACAGGAAGTGAGAACATTTGTTTTGAGTATCTTCAGTCTTAAACACTTGATCTTGATCTTGATATCCAATATCCCTTTATTCTAGTTATTCCTACAGAGTACGCTCACCACGGGAAAATCCGTAGATCAACGTTTGATGCCAAGTTTGATCTTGCAGGGGCTTTTTTAACAAATATCATCAGATTTTTTTAATTTTGTTCGAGATCATGATTTATCCTGAGCTGGGAACTTTTGAATCTTGAATATCAAGATTAATGCTTTCATCTCTATCTTTTCTTAATCTACAGATTAATTCAATCTTTATTCCATTTCCCTTGAGGTTTCAAATCAAACAGCCAATAAGAAGCAATGGAATTTTGCGTTCGACCAATGAGAGGACAGGGATATCTAACATCAAGAGATCAGGCAGATTTCTCGTAAAATTCAAAAGTGCCCAAAGTGAATATCAAAATCAAGCAATCGGGATTTCGAGTATCCAACAAAAGGTTTTCCAGCTCTGATCAGACGAAACAAAACAGAAATGTCCGAAGGGAACAATAAAATGTTATCTATTTTTTAACAAATAATTTTGATTGTTTAGGAAGCATAGTGGGTGCAGAGGGAAACCAAGCTCTTAGAAGAGCCTCATCTATCAGGTAACAAAAGTCGTCGTCGTTTATATTAATTTAATGAAGACCACTTTCCATATTAATTTTGAATAAACATGGAAATAACGAGAAGCTCGATAAGCAGTCAATCAACAGCTTCTCTTTGTTTACTTGTAAATTCTTAAAATTTGAAATTAATTAATTAGAAAGGTCGTCTTCATTGTATGGAAATAAACACTGACCTCTGTATATTGAGATTCTTCTTTTTAATTTGATTTGTTAGACTTTAAAATCTTTAAATTCAATTTTTTGTTGTGTTAATTCTTTTCATAGATTCTTCTGAGTAGTTTTATAGACTGTATGATTATTTACATTTCTGATGTAGATATTTTTTTTGTGATCTTAATCAAAATTCTTCATACGATAGCAGGCAATAATATCAATAAAATGAAGACGACTTTTTTATTTCAGTTATATTATTAAGAAGCTTTTTTCTAATTACAAATTTACATGTAATTAAATGGAATCTGTTTTAATGACAGCTTCTCTTTATTTCCATTTTTTTGTGTATCCATGCTCTTTAAAAGCTTGACATAAAAGAAAGTTGAAAGCGAAAGTGGCCTTTTTATTTTATTGATAAAATCGCCTACTACCGTACTATCTTTTTCCTCCTTTCAGTTATTCCCAGAAATCTTAATTGGTCAAATTGCATTCATAATATATCTACTTTTCTTTACATTATATTATTACCTTTGAATTCTAAAATTTTGGGAAATTATCAAAAGAACAAACAGTGATAACCAGAAAACTCTGGAATAGTAAGACGACTTTTATAATCAAGTTAAAACTTTAAAAAGTGCAGTTTAAACAGACCCATTTTACTAAATTAGTCATTTAATAAGTGTTTAGTAAAACTTTGCTTTGTTACAACATCTTTAAATACACTTAAGTATTGATTTAAAGTCGTCTTCCTATTCCATTGTTTTCTGGTTATCACTGCATTAAAATAAATCCGTATATTTTAGGCGAGCATTCACAAGTAGCTCTGCAGGGTTGAAAAGACATTCTCCGGTTCTGCAGGTTAGAATATAGTAATCGTCTTCATTAATAGTATAAAAGTCGTCTTCAGTATAATTAGTCGTTTTCCAAATTAGAGTATTAGTCGATTTCAAATGTTTTCAATAGTCTTTTTCGATATTTGATTTCGATTTCGATTTCAATCCTTCTTTTAAATTAGTACAAATGTACGGAGCACTCAAAATAAGAATATTATTATTAAAATCTACATTTTACAATTTTTAATCTTACTTGATTTTCATGAACTTTTTTGATTGAATCTTTGGTACGAAAAGTAACTTAAAGATGAAAAATGAGATTAGTCAATGAGAGTAATCAACAATAAAAAATATTCAAACCAAATGATTTCTTGGAAAACCTTAAACATTGCAAACTTAATGTTTCTTTTTTCAACGTCTTTTTTATATTTTAGGTTAAATTCCAGACTGACAGCATTATTGAGCAGTTGAGGAGAACAAAAATTAGATTTGTTCATTGCTATCTTCCTCAGCATACAGGTAATTCTACAATATTGTCAGCATTTGTTTAATACTGCCTAACTACAGGGTGTCCCAAAAAAACATGGGAATTCAGTGACGAATTTGATATCGTCTTTTTAAATAATTCTTTGATTTAGTATAGTGATACCTACTGAGAAAGCTGTAATCTGTAAGAGTTTCGTCTGCTATGTTCACATTTTCTTTATTTATGTTTTGACTGCATACGGTTGTACTTAGTAAAACAAGCAAATTGCAGTGTTCAAACAGTGTAAACTTGTCCGTCTTCACTGTTCATCTTGCGGAGACATTATAGACATATTTTATCAACCATTTACCCTTTTCATAAATAAACTCTAGCAGACATAATATTATTATGACTGTTGAAATCAGGTATTACAATGCTAATTCATAACAAAGACGATATCCAATTCGTCACGCCTTTCTTCTTAGTTTATTTAAAGAAAAAAACAACTAAAAAAATCTAGCAGATTTTTCTTATTTTTTAGTAGATTTGCAAGAAAATTTTAAAAAATTTAAATTTTGTTTGCCATTTTTAATTTACTCCGGTCATTAACCTTTTTTTTGGGTCATTTGGTTCAGCCTTTTCGACGTTTTTTTGAATACTATAAACAGGCTGACAAACAGGACATACAAAATGTACATTTAGATTTGGACACTAATTATATTGTTTTACAGCTGGTTTGTGTGATGTTAAACCGGTTTCTAGTCCTGCCACAAACCTTAACATCCCTCTTATCCGGTCACAGGTGAAACCTTTAGTCTTTTATCTTAAATACTTAAATATCTTCAGGACCTAAATATCTTTAGCACTTAAATATCTTTAGGACTTAAATATCTTTAGGACTTAAAAAATATACTTTCTCAAATCCCTTCATAAGTTACTAGTTCCTAAACAAGCATTTTCATCCCAGAAAAAAAAAACTTTTTAAACAGTATGAAGATTTATAAAAAGCTTCATCAAACTTATATATATAAGTTTAAATTATTATAAAGATTATTATAGATAAATTATAAAATATGAATAATTGTTAATAATAGAAATCTGTTTTAGTTACGTGGATCTCAGCTAATCGATGCCCTGAGATTACAGAAGGTATGAATTCTATAATTAGAAAATTCGTAAATAAATCAGAAAAATGATTATTAAATTAGATATCGTCTTCCCCGCTACATCAAATGTCGTCTTCCGCCCTATTCTGCCTAAGTAGAGCTTTATGCGAAAAATTTAAAGGAAGTCTAAATTCGATTAATTTTCTATTTTATTTTAGACAAAACGTACGTCTATCCAGCATATACGAAGTATATATATAATATCAATATAATGAGGGGGGGGGGGGTCTATTAATGTTTTATAGAAATTGTTAAAACACACTTTTTTGTACGAAGACGACTTTTATTCAAATCTGTGTTCAGGTCGGGTTCCCTGAGAGCATTGGTTTTTCAGAATTTTGGAGAACATTTAAAATTCTAGGTGAGAAAACATATTCAGTATCCACTGTACAGTGGTTCCATATACGGTGGTAAGTGATCATATCAATACAATGAAGACGACTTTAGTATCTAAGTTTTGATTGTTTACAAGCTTTTTTCGAAATACAAGCTTACAAGCAATCAAAGAGAAGCTTTTTTAATTGATAAATACTCATGACTTCTACGTTATGTGTATCTATGCTTTAACAGCTTAATTAAAAT